ATACCGTGTGGTTTAAAATCAGGAAAGGTGTATGTCAGGGTCGCATCCTTTCACCATACTTGTTCAATCTGCATACTAACCAAATAATCCAAGAAACTAAACTACATGAAAAATAACATGTATGGATTGTGATAAGAGTTGTATGAGCCCCTAATAAAACGATTTAAAAAAAAAAAGAAAGAAAAAGAACATGTTATCAAGATTGGAGGAAGACTTAGGTAACAACATGCAATTTACAAATAACACAACCTTGCTTGCTGGAAGTGAAGAGGACTTGAAGCACTTACTGATGAAGATCAAAGACTACAGCCTTCGATATGGACTACATTTCAATAAAAAGAAAACAAATATCGTCACACCGCGATTAAAAGGCAACATCATGAACAATATAGGGCTACCATATACTGGTTACAGCATCTAACAATAACAACAGTAGAGCATTTTGCATCTTAGTTTCCCAGCTTCCCCCATGTCCCCTAGCTTAAGGACGTCAGCCTAACAGCAGACAGCTAAGCTTGTTTACACTGGCATTTTCTTTTCTTTTTTTCACTCTGGCACTTTCCATCGGCCATTTACTGAACTGTTTTGAAATCATATTTCTCTCTAGCTCATTGGTCATTTTTTGCCATGGTTGAGTCATCGTGTCATGTGAAGGCCAGGAACAATCTCAGCCCACAACTGGTTTAGGGAAAACCATCACTAAAGAACAAGGTCGATACCAGGGACATATTTTCTGAACACATTCAGTAATTAAGAGGGGAGAAAACTTCCTCTCTCTATCATTTCTGTCAGCACTTGTTAGAAATTATTCCTATGAAGGTAAATCTTGGTCATTCATTTCAAAATTTTACAGGTAGGAGAACAGGCTCTGGACGAACCCACATAATTCCAGAGCATGTAAGCAGGTTTATTTTGGTAAGGTTCTTCCTCCATTATGCAACATAGATCTTCACACATATATGCTATCTTTGAAAACTTCTCCTTTTGAGAGCTGTAATCATACTATGTAATGTAAGGGCCACACAAAAAAAAGCTCTAAACTGGGTACCTAAAATGGGGAGCAACAGAGGGGACAGGAGAGACTTGGAGATCCAAGGCTAAGTGGCACCCTGGAGTGGATTCTGGAACAGTAAGAAGACATTAGTGCACAGTTGGTAAGTGTGTAGCTCACCGCACAAGGATTCCCAGCCAAGTGACCACTTTCTTGGCCCAACCAAGGGCCAAAGGCAGCACATCAACAAAATGGCAGATGAGGTCAAAGACAGTCTGTGGCACTGGTCTCTTTTCTCTGCATTGAACAAGAACCAAACATTGGCAATAAAAAGGGATGGGATACACAACATGAATGAACCTTGGAAGCATTATGCTGAGTGAAAGTAGCTAGTCAAAAGGGACATACATTGTAAAGTGTTCCCGATCAAGGCACATCCAGTGAAAAAACCCTAAGGCAGAATGAGGGGGATGTGCTCAAGGAGCAAAAAGCAGCTGGACCTTCATGAGTGAGATCGGGAGTCAAAGAAGGCCAGTACTTGTATAGCTGCCATGGTAGTTCATGGTAAGGACTCAGAATTTGATTCCAAGAGCACAGAGAGGCCACTGAAGGGTTTCAAGCAGGGCAGAGGCATGATTTGACGCTGTTGATCTCATGTTCAAGATGAATTCTTAAAACTGAAGTCTCTCTGACATCTTGTCCTTTGTTTTTGGGGATATGGAGCCTCTAGAGAACAAGTTCAATACATGGTAGTCTAGAACACTCTAAAATCATGGCTCCCAAGGTCCTCCAGGCTCACCAGCTTAGTCCTCTACCATTCTAGCAGTTTCCAGTGCACACGCTTGCGTGTTTCTTTTCCCATGTCCCTCATCAAATGTGATATTCAAAAGAGAACACAATGTTCTAAGCATGGAATAAACTGAAATGATGACCTTTCTCACACCAGACTCGTCCTTCTATTGATGTGTCTCAAGATTGCCTTGGCTTTTAATTCTGTTTTATGTCATTGACTGACTGAAGCATCTTTCAGACAACCTCCCTGGTGTTTTTGATTAATGCCCAGATTTAGAGAACAGAATTTAAGCTTGTTCTTCCTTAATGAGAACAGTTGTGCCCTGTTTGTTTTATAAGGTCATCATAACCTAAACAGTGCCCCCATTTATTTTTTTAAATGGTGAAAATGAGCAAGAGTATTATACTGGGTCGGCTACAGTTTCACAAGCAGTGAATTTCTCTTCCGGGTGGAGGATAAGGAAAATTGTTATAGCAAGTTTCCCTAAAATTGCCTTGTACCTGCTCCCTTGCATCACACGTCTGAGGACACCCAGACTATTTGGAAATGCTCAGCTCTTAAGCAAAAGACACTCCTTGTGATTGCACTTCCTGCTAGATTTCTCAAAGACTTATAAACAAATCTGAGGAGAGGCAGATTCTCAAGCTAGGGGAAGAGAGAAGTGGTGGTGAAGCTCAGTTTCAACTGCACCAGCGAGCTAGGCTGACTTAAGTGAGCCGACCATGGGGAAGATAAAGACCCTCGGCCAGATGAAGCCGGAGAAGACCTGGTATATCATCAGGCCAGACCTTCTCCATATCCCATTCCTCAGAGGTGATGCTGCTGCTTATGGCCTCAGACCAGTAGGCTCAAGGCTTCCCTTTGCTCCCTGGTAACTCAGTGACCTTGGGCAACTCACTGAGCCTCGGTTTCCTCATCTGCAACACAGGATTCTGATTAACTTTATCACAAAAAAAACTCCATCGAATTGATGCTGACTCATAGCAACTCTGGGACAAGGTAAAACTCTTACTGTGAGTTTCTGAGTCTTTAACTGTTTAAGTGGTAGAAAGCCCTTTCTCCCAAGGATCGGCTGGTGGTTTTGAACTGCCTAACTGCAGATCACAGCCCAATGCATAACCACTATGCCAACAGGGCTCCAGTTAAGTTGCTGGTAAAGATTAAGACCTTGTGTGTAGAGCACTTAATTAAGGTAGTTTTAGAAAGTACATTCTAAATTAAAACTACTTTAGATGCACCCACATAAAATGAAGAGTTATTATTGGCAAGAAGATTTTTCTCTTCTCCCTCAGATCACTTGCCTGCTGACTTGACTTTTCAGGACTTACAATCTCTCCTGGTTGTGTCGGCTGTTTCTTTCCAGGTGATTACTTTCTTTTAGGAGGCAGTGAGAGAGACCGGACAGTAACTCTTTATGGGAGTAGAAAGTCCTTTCTCCCGTGGAGTGGCAGGTGAGTCCCCCACCCCCACCCCCTCTATACCTTCCCTAGGAGTAGTCCAGAAAAGGAGGCCCTCAAAGCCAGTAGGGTTCCCATAAGAAGATTGACTTTGGAAGAACTAAACTCATTGCCCTTGAGAGAGAACCACATCTAGTGTGTGAATGTATTCCACTTTCTGGAATTATGTAGCAAACGCTTTAAGGTCCGTCCCTGAGTGTCTTTCTGTTGCCTTTAGTTGTTATATTTGCAAATACAACTACTCAGGAGATGGACATCATGCTTGGTAAAACAGAGGTCAGAGAACAGGAGGAAGACCTTCAAGGAGATGGATTGACACGGTGGCTGCAACAATGGCTCAAACATTAGCAATTGTGAGGAGCGCAGAGAACTAGGGCAGTGTTTCCTTCTGCTGCACACGGGTTTGCTGTGAGTCAGAGCTGACTCGCCAGGAGCTAACAAACAGCAGCAGCGACAATCTTCACATTGACACATACCATGAAAAGGACAAACGCTGCATACATCCCAGAACCGGGAGAAGGTGGAAGAGTCTGGTACCCTCCTGGAGGGCGTGTGCGCACGCGTGACTTTTGAGCGTCGTGGTTTCTTTCAGGCAGAAGAGAGCCTCGCAAAACAAACAACCCGTGCAACCCACTGACCATCAAATCAATTCTTGACTCATGGCGACCCTATAGGGCAGGGTAGAACTGCCCTGTGGGTTTCCGGACAGTAACTCTTTATGGGAGTAGAAAGTCCTTTCTCCCGTGGAGTGGTTGGTGGTTTCGAACTGCTGACCTGTGGATCTCAGCCCAGGGCATAACCACTGTGCCACCATGGCTAGGGGGTGAGCCTGCACCCAGCCCCCAGGCCTGCCAGGGAACAGTCCTGTTTCTGACGGATGAGTGAGCAGGAGGGAAGGGCCGCTGAGTGGTCAGCCCCCGCCGTGCACCATGACAACACACTTCCAGCAGGCAGGAGAGCTGGTGCCGAACTCGACTGAACGCCGTCGAGCGGCCGCTGGCCCCGGTCCCTGGGTCACCACACTGGCCCTCAGTGGCTGCACACCTGGGCCACGCGGGCTGCAGGCGGCGCCCCGCAAGGCCCTTCCCCTCCTCCTCTCCCGGGCGGCAGTCAGGGGACCAGGGCTGCCCCCCAAAGACCCTGCCGCAGACCCGCCGCCGGCTGGGGCGCGGTGGGGGTGGGGGGGTGGGGACAGGACCGCCTCCAGCGCCGTCTGCAGTCCCCCAGGACCGCGTTGCTTCCCATGTCCCCCCAAGCGAGCCCCGCCGCTCCGCTCCTGGAGAACCCCGTCCTGTCTGCGATGGTGCCCCGCTGGGGACCCCCCCAAGGTGCTGGGGACCCGTGCGTCGTCTCCTCGGCACGCCGTCCTGTCGGTCACTGTGCCCCTCCAACAGCAGACGCCGAGGCCCTTGGACCCCCATTCACCGTCTCCTGGACACCCCGTCCGGTGAGTCGTGACTCGCCCCTCAGGGACCCCAAGGCATCGCACGCCGTCTCGTCAGCACCCTGTCCTGTCAGTCATGCTGCCCCCTGGGCACCCCAAGGCCCCGCGGGCCCCGCACGCCGTCTCCTCAGCACCCCGCCTTGTCAGCGGCCGCGTCCCAGCTGTCCCGCTTAGAGAGCCCCGCGGCCCCCGGGGTGCCGAACCGCCGTCTCCTCAGCACCCCGTTCCGACCCCGTCGCTCCTGGCCACCACCCCGCGGACGCGTCCCCCCTCAGCCACGAGGGAGAGCCCGGAGGCGCCCCGCGCCCCACTCACCGCGGCAGCGGGGCGCGCGGACCAGCAGCCGCTGACTGGAGTCGGCTGACAGGCGCGGGATCCGCAGCTGAGAGACTGCGCCGGCCGCAGGCAGCCGGAGCTTTCCGAGCGCGCGTCCGGGGGCGGGAGCGCGCGTGGGCTGTCACTCAACCGGAGGGCCCGCCCCGCCAGTCTGCGCAGGCGTCGAGAGCGGACATGGCCCCGCCCCGCCGCGAGCGGAATCCCGAGAACCGCGGAGGTCACGTGAGGGGGCGGGCCTAACCTCCTCCCTCGGCGTCGCTCCCATTACCACGCCCACAGACGGCTCCTCCCTTCAGCCAGGACCTGCTACTCCAGAGGCCTGGGTAACCTCGGCTGGACCGGAAACGGGCGCGGTTCGGAAACCGGCTTCAGAAGGGACTTGTGAATTGCTGCTGTAGGAGGTGCGGGCTGTCGTTTCCTGGATTCTCTCAAAACGAGGCTGTAATCCCGGGTCCAGGATAGCCTGAGGGGCCAGGCCTCTCGGCGGACCAATCTGTGAATCGGAAGCGGAAGATGCAGTTCTGCGTTACTGCTTCCCTTCCCTGGGTCCCCCCAGCTTTAACACAAGATGCCACTCCCTGCCCCCCGTGCCTCGGTTCTGGTGAAGTCAGAACTTTAACGCTGGAAGAGCAGGAGGTCCGATTTTGAAAGGGACGGTCTTCAACATTGATCCTACCTCAACTCCAACTCCGAGGTCATTTCGTCTCTTCTCTATTTCAATTAGAAAAGGTAAAAGATAGGCAAGAGTTTGTGGTTCTCAAGAAAGGAGAGGAGCCCTGGTGGCCCTGTCAGGTAAGCGTTGGACTGCTGACCTCAAGATGGGCTGTTCAAACCGCCTGTCACTCAGCAGAAGAAAGATGTTTTCTGCTCTGGTCCACGTTAGAGCCTCAGAAACCATCACAGCTTGATGGCAGTAGGTTTGGGATTTTGTTGTTTTGAAAGAAAGGAAATATATTTGGCCCTCCTTGATATCCTCCAGAATGACCAACCTCAGATCACAAATACTGGAGGTGGGTTAAGGGGAACCAACTCCAGAAAGTTCCAAAGAGCAAAACTTGACTCCCATGCCACAATCACTATGCTGCATCCAGGCGGGTGGAGTGATGCGGAGCCTAGCCTGCTGTAGCCTCTCCAGCGCCCCCTGTGTGAGCCTTGTTCATTCTTTTAAAAAGCAATTGTGGTCAAACTAACCCCTCAAAGGCTAACAGGGAGCATAAGATGCTATTTACATAGCATGCACGTGGTAGGGAACTCTGGTGGCATAGCGGGTTAGCACGGTCTGCCTGGAGTTTGAAACTACCAGAGTGAGTGAGTGGGGTATTATAAGTCAGCTACCCAAACCCATTGCTACTGAGTCTCATCTGACTCATGCATGCACTGGAGACCCTATAGAACAGGGTAGAACTGCCCCTGGGGGTTCTGGAACTATAGTTCTTTACAGGAGTAGAAAGCCTCATTTTTCTCCCTTAGAGCGACTGGTGAATTTAAACTGTTGACCTTGCGATTAGTAGCCCAACACATAGCTCACTAAACCACCCAGGGCTCCATTCTGCCACATAGCAACCTTATAATCTACAGATGATATATATGGGGATGGGGAGGTGCATAATTATATGCAAATACAGCACCATTTTATTTAAGGGACTTGAGCATCTGCATATTTTGGTATCTGCAGGGTGGGGGAGTGGCCTTGAAACCAATCCCCTATAGAAAGTGAGTTTATAGAAACAACATGACACCTCAAAAAAGAATTTGGGGTTCTGTCAAACTCTTTGAAAAATATTGCCAGGAGGGTTGCTGCTACCAGTCATCCACACGTGTATACACATGCATGCACATACCCACCAGGGGGACTGCTGCCACACCTACACACACATACCCACTGGGAGGGCTGCCACCAGCCATTCACATGCACACACACCCATGAGGAGGCCTGCCACCAATCTGCACACAATGCTCCCACCAAAGGACTGACGCCAGTCACACACACATTCATGCTCTGTGAAACTTGCTGCATCACCAAAGACTGTCTGAGTCTCAAGTGTTGATTGTGAAATTTTCTAAAGTCATCTCCACAGTACACTGCAGAGCTGTAGTGCCCCTTCCGTGATTTGCGTACCTGTGATAATGAAACTTTGTCTTTAAAAAAATGCAGTGGAATCTGAAACGAGGTTGAATGTCCAGTTAAGAGAACTATCCTGAAGTCATGGACATAAGGCGGGAGGAACTGGGGTTCTGCCACTTAGGAGAAAAAAAATGACATGTGGAATCCTACTCATCAAGCCTGGGCCTCAGGCCTGCGCCATTTGCCCCAGAGAGGAAGGCCTAGTGGACTGTGGACTTGCTTAGAAATGTGGAAATGAGCAACAAGAAGAAACAGACCAGGAGCTGCAGTTCTACAAGGAAGATGGGCCCTCTGGTGCTGGAGCTACGTATGGCCCATTCCAAAATGGCTTCACCTACTTGGTATGGTCACCATGTATTTGAGGAGCTGACCTCTGGAAGTTGTAAACTGAGGACAGGAAAGAGCATAAAGTAGACCTTGTTCCCACGATGGGCATCCAGGATGTATCCCATGTCCTTGCAGGATAGGGGTGGCGTCCTGGCAGAAGGCTTGGGACCAGAGGCTGCTCTGCTGGTTTCATGGCATAGTGAGTCAGTCTAGTTCAGTGCCCCAGCGTGTGCACCCTGCCCCAACTCTGGCAGTACCAACTGTTTTGCAAAGTGGAAAAGGGTAAGGGTAAGGTTCCATTTGGGGTAGGTAACTTTTCTCTACTAACCCTTCTTCTTCTGCCTCACAAGGTGACCATTTTCAAAAGGGAAGAAAATGGTTTGTGCAAACTATTGGCCAGCAAGCTTGACTCTGCCTGGGAAATATTCAGGGCTGGTTACTCTTGAAAAACACTGAACCCTCAGAAGAGGAAGCACCAAAATATTACTCACCGAGGTGATTCCAACTCATAGCAACCTTGTCTGACTAAGTAGCACTGCCCACGAGATTTTCTTTTCCTTATTTTTTTGAGTTTTTCAAGACTATAATTCTTTATGGAAGCAGACTGCCACATCTTTCTTCCGAAGGTTAGTGGGTGGGTTCGAACCGCTGAGCTCTCTGTGTGTAAGCACTGTGCCACTAGGGCTCTTTTTGGAAGAGGACTCCCTGATGAGAAAAACAAGTCATGCTAGATGGACCTTAGTGAAAGGTGTAGCTTGATAAATCAAGGAAAGACAATATATAAATAGCACACCTGGACTTCCTGGATGATTGCCATTGAGTGGGCTATGACCGAAAGCTGCTGTGACGTACAACAGAACGAATGACTGCCCTGTCCTGTGGTGTATCTATCAGTGCTCTTTCAATGATGCCCCATGGAGCCATGTCCCATGAGAAATACTCAAGGAACCAGGAATGTAAAGGTGAAAAGAAAGAAAGTTTTGCAAAAGTTTGTTTCCAGGTTGATGCAAACCAAACCTGTCTTTGTATAACACCAAGATGGACAGCTGTCCAATCCACAGTGTTGTCTATGACATTCAACTCAAATATTTTTCCAGCCTCTGCTTGATAAGTCCCCTTGGACCAAAGCACTTGCCAAGGACGTTCTCATCTTTGTAATACTTAAAGATGGTAACAATAGCCAACCACTCTCTTCTTTCTCTAAGATTGATCTATTTTACTTCTTGCATAACACTCGTGCCTGTCTGTCCTTTCCTACCCTACTGCTACCATCTTAATTCAAGCCACTGTTATCCCTTACTTGTTCAGGTGTTCGTGAACGGAGCACTGCCCAGTCTGTACTCTTTGATGCACATCACCTCAAAATGGCAGTTTGGGAATCCTCCAGAAACTCAATTTGTGTTCCTTTGAAATGTCCTGTGAGTGTGGGTGACAAAAAGACGTCTGAAGGGGCAAGATGAGGGCTGGAGGTGGAGGGTAAAAGGTTTCCCAAAGACATTCCCATGAGGCTTCCCTTGCTACCCTCGAAGAATGAGCAGGTGTGTTGTGGTGATGGAAAACAGTTCTTTAGTGCAGCCCACCTTTTTCTCAGCAATGCTGTTTCCAATGGGAACAACAACAATTTCTCTATAAAGCTCCCATGATTGTTCTGTGTCCCTGAGAAAATCTATCAAATGACCCTTTTGAAGTACAACCCCTCCATCCAGCTGCTGTATAACCTCTGAGCTGACCTCTCAGACTTAAATTGGCCCAGCAGATTCCCTCAAAAATCACTTTATTTTGAAGAGACTGACAAGTGTATTATGGAGAGAACTTGTCTGCAACCATCCGGTGATGGCAGAAAAGTGCTTGAACACACTGTGTGTGGAATAAGCCTGTGCCCATCTGAACTAGAGCCCTACTAGCAATACTTGTCAACTCACCAAGTACAGGGTGTTGCCAGGGTTTGGCTTCTACAAACACGCTCTTGTAAATAGCCCAGTGCAAGTGGGCGAGTCTGCCTGTAGAACAAATTACTACCGGAGGAACTGCTGGGTCAAAGTTCTCAACCTTCCTAATGTCATGACCCTTTAATACAATTCCTCATGCTGTCATGACCCCCCCCTCAACCATAAAATTATTTTCGTTGCTACTTCATAACTGTAATTTTGCTACTGTTATGAATTAGGCAACCCCTGTGACAGGGTCATTCATTCCCCAAAGGGGTTGTGACCCACAGGTTGAGAACCTCTGCTCTAAGGAGTGCTACCTCTGGGGTGGTATTGTGATCATGCTTGGTATAGTGGCAGGGCAACAAAAAAGAGGCAGGCCCTCACCAAGATGGGCTGACACAGTGGCTGTGCCATGGGGTCCAACATAACAATTGTGAGGATGGCGCAGGGCTGGGCAGTGTCTCGTCCTGTCGTATGAGGGGTCACTATGAGTCCAGGCTGACTCAACGGCACTTCACAACAGCAAGGCTTTTAATTTGTATTCATTCCTTTTGCTCTGAATGGGGCTGAGGTTAAGTGGTTGAATAACCAAAACCAAGCCAGTTGCCATGGCGTCAACTTGGCCTCATAGGGACCTCCAGAGTGTCCAAGTACAACTGTGCCCCACA